GAGAGAGAGAGAGAGAGAGAGAGAGAGAGAGAGAGAGAATGATTTACAAAAAGAAATGGAAATGACCAAGACATGGTCGTAATTACCGTATGCGGCAGGCTGGAAACCCACAAAAGAATGTGCGCAAAAAGACAGCCAAATGAAACGAAATGCAATCAGTCAAATGAACAAGCTAAATGATATACAGGGTGATCCAAAAAACCTAATCCAAAAAAACGAAACAACTAAACTACTTTTTTCTGAATATCTCGCACAGAACTTTTACTAGAATGTTATAATTTGAAACAGATATATTTCCTCCAAATTGAATTTGTTTGACCTAAAATTTGTAAAGAAAATACCTGTTTTTGAAATCGGATATGGCTTTTATAAAAACCAGCAGAAAGTAAAGTTGTTCCCGCATCCGATTGTGGATTGCCTTGTTAGTGAGACAACTTCCTGGGCCTTCGGCATATTGTGATAGGGTGGCCAGTTACTTTCCACTCCGCCTTTACTTCCCCAACTCGAAGTCAGGTACTCATTACTGATGGGTGGGCAGGACCGGGCGAAAAAAATACGTGTCCAAAGCGAGACTCGAACCCAGACTTTCCCCTTCAAAATCACGTATAAACGCAAAATGCGCCAATTTAAAAGATCTTGTAAGGAGAGCCATGAAATGATTGTTTCGTTTTTTCTCTTTTTTTCTTTTAAAAATCTAATCTTTCCATCCCTGTAAAATTAAAACAATATTCCTTTTCTCTTACAGAGTTAAAAAAATAATAGTACAATTTTGGAATTCCGAGAGCCAGTGCTCTATACCCGTATGTCTTTCTTTGAACTCGATACATTTTAACGCGTCGTTCGTAATGTTCAGTGGTTGCCAAACACAAAAATACACCCAACCATAAGTACTTAAAGCCACACACGCTGTACACGTTACAGTATGGAGTTGTTTCTAGAGACAATTGGGGGTAGAGTGAGGTTGCCCAAAAAGACGACATTTGTGTATTTTACATAATATCCAGATAGGTGAATATGGGCTTTGCCAAGGAACCAAATGTCACAGAGCAAATGTTCGCGCATTTCAATACGATCGAGGAATCACGAATACATTGCTCTGATCCTCTGATCCGTGTCAGGAAAATGGTACAGTCGTAGATGAAGATCTACATTGAGAATGCAGACAGTTGAGATGAAGGAAAGTCCTAGCTGCACTCATTGTCGACAGACAGACGTCCCATGGGGCTCATCTACTGAATGCTGCACCCTGGTGACTTTTAAAGTGGTGCAAACGGTGTTTGTTTGACCTGAAGCGGTCATTTTGTCCAGGGAATTTTTAGTACTGATTCTCTACAGGTCCTAATGGCAACCACACACGACACAGGCCGTCCTCAAGTTCGGGCCTCAATTGGACTGCGCAGACCTCACACAGACAAAGCACAGGCCGAGCGGGCCAAGCGAAATGAAAACATATCCCTGGCCTGTGCGAGGACTGATCAAGGCCGGTCTGAATTCTGTTCTCGCCTGAAATTTAAATGAGGCCAGAGTGCTGATTATGAGTTTTAATGAAATAAAATGGCAACGTGGTCAAGAGACATTGTTTTGGACTTTATTAACAAATACTAAAAAACACCAATGCCTTTGGAAAATTAAGTGCAAAGAGGACGGCAGCAGACAATTCAAAGACAAACCGTATGAGGAGCTCGTCAGTTACTAGAAACATTTTCACGCAAATGCCCTCAGGAACAGAGTCATAAAAAATAATCCCCGTATGATCTGCGTGTTGCATGGAATTTTAATGTTGCAGTCAATCTCTCATGTGGCAAAATTGTCTCACTCATCAGGGTATTCTGTTTTTCTAAGGGACTCACGATGTGCAGAAACTTGGTTAACATGCTCTCGTCCATTCGTAAATAATTCCGATAATCTGAAGAATATTCCACCAATTCACGAAGCAAGTTAATGTTTGAGGGTTTAGAGTTCGTTTCTCGAGTGGGAGAAAATTTTTATCGAGTATCTCGGTCTTTCTGCTGTGATGTTGTATTCCTCTCGGCCCGAATTGGCTCTGACAGCCAAGGTCGGCGCCCATCTCCTAAATGGTCTGAAACTGCGTCGATGGATTCTTAAAAACATCTTTCCAAGAATTTTCAAGTGTATGAGTTGTAAGTAGTTAGTAGCAGTACTAGTACTCGAGGAAAAAATAAACACATCGCTACCTTGGACCTACAAAATTCTATCTTACATTTTTGGCTGCTATGAATGACTAAAATCATGAGGTCAGAAACCAAATGTCCACCTGCTCTATCAAAATCGTACGATTATTCGGAGTCGTATCAAGATATTCAAATAGACTTGACGAAAAAGCTTGACAAACTCAAAATTGTTTAACGTCAAATTTCTCACAACTAGGAACTGAGCAGATAAAACTTTGTAGTTCTATGGTAGCGACGTGACTCTGAGCCTCCATAAGTTGTTATCCTGAGCAGATGGAACTTTGTTATTCTAGGGCAATGACGTTTCTCTGAGCTTCCCTATCCGTCCTCACCTGGAAAGAGTTAAAGAACATCTCGAAGTAGAGCTTGACAGTCTCCGTGATGGCGCTCACGTTTTCAGGCACGGCGAGCGTGATCAGGTAGTGCACGCCAAACATGGGGATGAGCACCAGGGTCGACTTGCCCAGACGTCTGAAAACACGGTCGGACAGGTGTGTGTGTATGTGTGTGTGTGTGTGTGTGTGTGTGTGTGTGTGTGTGTGTGTGTGTGTGT